TGCCTCAACAGAGCAGGTCTAATACAAATCTGCCCTTTGGATTTAGGTTTTTTGCTTCTTTGGTGGGGTGGAATAAAGCCATGAGCGTTGCAGTGTGGTGCCCCGGGTGTAGCTTTCCCTCCTGTTAGCCCTTTGCTCCTGGAGCTCCTTGGGTGGGATGCTTGGCTAAAGTCACTGGGGGTTTGTGTTAGCTTCCATGGAGTTATGCCGTGTCCCCAAGCAGAGGCTCCTGCCCCTGTTGCCAGATTTGTGCAGATGCTTCTTCTGTAACTGATGATGATGATACAGGTAGGTGCTCAAAAGTAGGACATAAATAGGATGGAGACATGTTTCGGCTAGTGGTGCACTAAAACTACAGCAAAATACAATGTTTGCTGTCTAGAGAAGGACAAAGTCGATAGGAAGCGAAATTTTATTTTCAAGCTTTTAAGGGGATATAACAGTGAAGAATAACACAGCCTTGAAGAAGAAAGCTTGACTGTCCCTGTTGCGGGAGAGTTGTAAACCTTTGAAATAGGGTTTCGTCATGCAGCTGCTGAGAGCCATAACTGCAACGACGTGGATGCACCTATGGAACGTGTGTGTTAAACAGGTCATATAAAGCAAATCAATCAGTCTGGTGTCTTAGTTAAGATGCCAGACCGTGTGTCTCTGGTTGGGTTAAGGACATATATATGCAGAATCATTACTTGCAAGCGATGTGTTTGATTTGGAGTAATTGGGCTGTGTAAGTCTGCAAAAGACAGAGCCCCATTTGATTTCTTCTGTACTCTCAGTTTATCAGTACATTGTGTTTGGTGTTTACGTCGGCAGGTTATGCCCCTCTTACTCAGACCCAGCGGCCTCTTTCTCCCCGTGTAGTCTCGCCCGTTTTAATAGCACCAGAATTGCACTTGCCCTGAGTGATATGGCAGTGCCTGATCCTCGGATAAAGACTGAGTGAAAACTGTGTGAAGGAATTGTCTGAAAGGTTGTTCAAAATTTGATCTGTAATTACAGCTCACACAAAATCAGAGAGTATCACGCAAAATCAAAGTGCTCTTTTAAAGAAAAAAGAGCAGCAATCGTGTTTCTGGGAGCAGGCTTTCCTTTTTTTCCCAATTTTTAGTGTGTCTTCGCTGTTAATTTAGGCTATTCCATAGTCTTGGTTGAGGAAGATAGTCAGAGCTCCTGTTCAGTTTCGGATTCTTGAGGGCCTCAATAAACTCTTCTGGGAAGAAACGGACACCGTCTCAGTCATTTCTTACAGTAACGCTCCAGTATTCCCCCGTTAGGTTTATTAGCTGATTGGTAGGTGGACTGCACGTTTGCAAATACTTGACTGAAATCATCCCTGTGCCTTTGGAAGACCGATGAAGAAAAACCGGCTGCATTTCGTGGAGGAGATGCCTACTGCTGCTTTCTAGGAGCTATCGGGAGGAATCCAAAAGGCTTTTCCTGGAAGCGGGATGAAGACTGCGCTGAGGATCGCTGTCTGCAGCCTGCCAGCCAGCAGGGCTGTGGGAGAGGACAGCTTTATAGCTCCTCAGCTCTTCCCCCATTTCTGTGGCAGCACATTTCGAAACCTTTTAATATGCAGCTGAAAGTGAGACTTGCTATTTGTGTGATAATCTGGAGATCAGCTGTGCATCGGAGTGGTGCACAAGGATCAGGGTGGAACTTTTGTAAACTAAGGAAGTATCACAGTCCTACCAGGCCAGGGGAGTCAGCGGTTGGGTGCCTCATTGTTTTTCCTGATGCCACGAGGAGGTAAGCTGGGCCTGGAGACTTGGAGATGAGATGATAGAGCAGGTTCTGCTCCTCTCTCAGTGGTGAGGCTGGGACAAGGAGGTTGGATTACCTGGTCTTTATCTGAACTTGTCCAACTCCTTCGGTGTGCGCGTTTGATCTGATGGGTTCGTATGATGATTTGAGGAGGCTTTGGCCAGGTTGCAGGTAACATGGGAATAGCCCCTTGTATACTGTGTCTGTTCCTGGTCTCATCCAGAACTTCAGAGGGATGCAGGAGGGAGGAAAGGTTAAGGCATCAGCAGTGAGAGCTGTGAGAGGAGCTGTCGTGGTTCAGTTCAAACACCGGGACACCATTTGGGTTCGTTTTCCTTTTGGTGCCTTTGTTCATCCTTATTTCCTCCTCCTCTTTCATCACTTCTTCCCCCACAAATATCTAAAGCTTAAAATAATGTGCGTGCCTTTTATCTGCCAATAGTCTGACACAAAGTAGTTCCTCTTCATAACCATGAATTTATGTTTGGCCTGTTTACTCAGGTGCTAGACAGTATTTCTGGCTGCACAGATGGTGAGTCTAATACAGGCTTCTGGGTTTGACTTTTATGTTTGTTTACATCTTCATGGCACAATAGTTATCTGAGGAGACAAACTGGAAAATTGTGAAGAGCAACCTTGGGCCTAATCCTGAGATGTTTGAAGGGCTTGGAAAACCCTGGAGTGCAGAGCCGGGACCCGGTGGTAGACAGCCCCCCGAGCACTGCCCACCTTTCCGTTTCAGGTGGTTTTTAACTGGGTAGCCAGTTCCTTCATCTGTTGTCCCATATGATGTTACAGTGCTCTAGTTGGACAAGTGACATTTGAGATGTAGAATGCCAGGAATGGGGCAACACGGTGCGTTTGGGGCGGTGGCAATCTCTGCCCTGTGTCTGCTTGGTCCTCCATGTCCCCCTCATCTCTGTGTTAATACAGAGCTTTTTTTCCTGGTCTGTTGCGATTTTCTAATGTTTATCAGGATGAAGGGATTAGAAAGATGGGAGGGAGTGAGGAAAAGGCTCCTCTGTGTTACCCTGGGGAGATGCACAGGTAAATGAGTTCGCCTGGATTGAAGCCCAACGCTTTCATGGTCACCTCAGTTTTGCTGAGCAAACGCGCTGGATGGTGCGTCAGCTCTGGAGCTGCCAGTCTGGAAGGGAGATCAGCAGGAGGAATAAAAGTAAGTCTTAAAATGGTAGGGCTTAAAAATAGGGTCAGTTAAGCAGCTTGAAGTCACCCTGCGAGGCTATCCTAACCCTCATTTGCAAGGAGTCTCCATTTCTGGGTTCTTACTCTTCTTTGGGTTTGAGGTTTATCGGTGGAAAGGATTATCTGCTCGCAAAGTAGCAGTAGTAGTACGCAGCAGCTCTTCTGAAAAAACTTGCACTCTTAGCAATTCCTCACTAATAAACTGTCACACTTCACTGCTGTGCGTTTTGTCAGTTATCTGGTGCCAAATGGAGCTGGGCTATCTGCGTGTCAGAAACAGACAGTGTGAGGTGATGACATGTTAACTGTAAATGCGGGAAAGAGCAGTGACAAGTTCTGCTCCTTGTGAGATTTGCAGCGATGAAAACAGTTAAAAGTATCTGGTTTGTATTTTCAGAAGTTCTGCAAATCACATGCTTTAAGTTCACTTCAAGACTTCGGGATTAGAAGGGGAAAAAAGGTTACGAGGTCAGAGTTAAATAGATGATGGTTTATTTCTTTACACAGAAATTAATTTGTATCTTTTACCTAAATTGCAGTTTCTAGACATCGTATCTTTTTGGTGGGCCAGATTCTTATCTGGCATAAAGTCATCTTGTCCAACTCACCTGACTTCGTTGGAGTCCTGCCATTTTTCTGCTGAAGGATTCGCCTTCTGTATTTTAAGAAAATTGCAGTATTCATTGAAGTTGGCTGTGGTAGGAGAGATTCTTTCAATACCTGCTCTGTTAGCCAAATCTTTTTCCTTGAATAAAAAGTTGATTCATTTCAGAACTTTTTGGCAATAGAAGTTTAAAAACTGGAATCTGGGATTGGTATAGCAATTTTTTTGAGCAGCACATTTAAAACTTAAGTAGTAAGCATTCTTTTTAAAGTCATCTCCAACAGAAGACAAGCTACAGGATACTTCCCTGTCCCACAGAAATCTTCTGGATGACAGGAAGGAGGAAGTAGTAGAGAAAAATTGCTGAATTTTGATGTGTTTTTATGACTCACTAAACCACTCAGCCTCGCTGGGATGTGCCAGGGAATTCTAGGAAATCTGTCAGTTGCTGCGGAGACAGGTTCCTCAAAACTTGTTTTCAGTCTTTCATTTTCTTAACGTCTATGTTTATGTATAGCCTCATAGCATAATGATCTCATATCAGAATATATATATGTATTTATACAATATACATATGTAAAAACACACAGTTATGCAATGTGAATGTGAATCCAGTTTATGCATTTATTTTTTTTTTTTTCCATGTATCTAAATCCAGTATGGTGAGATCAGTACTGCCAGTGGAATCTACTGTTTTCCTGCACGTGTGTTTGTTCAACCATTCCATGTGCTTCGGGTGCAATCTTTGTGCCCAGGAAAGGTGCCATTTTATTTAGAGCCGAGTCCCTTCCTGGCGTGGGCAGAGTCATCTTGGCACTAAAGGTCCTAATATCAGGGAGAAGAGGTGGTTAAACTTGTACCTGTAGTAGACCAACATTGTGTTTTGTGTTCCCCAGAGAAGCGGTTTAATTCAAATTTTTAGAGTTCTTCGGCTTCCTGAGTTCCTGCCAAATCAGTCGCCGCTCTGGATTCCTGTCTGGGGGCCGTGCCTGAGGGTGAAAGGGTTCTTGCATCCTGGATCAGGGTGAAGGTTCCCTTTGTGATCAGAGCGTGGTGAAAACAAATACAGAGTCATACACATGGGAAATAAAGTGCAAAATTTTCTTTTGATGCAAACTGATGGATTGCTTGAAAATAGAAGAAAATCCTTTTTTTTTTTCAATTTGTATTTTTTTTAGAGGGTGATGGTATGCATCATAGAAATATCCAGAGAAATATCAGATAAAAGATAAGACTTGAAAAATAGCTTTGTGATATGTATTGGCTAAAGTTAACACTACTAGGGTTAATTATTGTTTGATGTTACATCAAGTTTCCTCAACAAGGCAGAAGAGCTGGTTTAAAAAGAAAGTAGAATATGTGCATGTGATTTTTCTTTTTTCTTTCACCTTGTTTTAAGACCTTGCCATCGCTTGTCTTTTCCCAGGTACCGCTTACAGAAGCAGTGGACCCGGTTGAGTTGGAGGACTACCTTATTACACACCCGATCTCAGTGGAGTCCGGACCTCTGCGAGACTTGCTTGAGTTTCCTCCCGATGACATCGAGGTTGTGTACACCCCCCGAGAATGTCGAACGCTTGTGTCAGCCGTGCCCGAAGAGAGGTAGGAGGTGACAGGGTGACACCTCGCTCCAGGGAATGAATTGTTCTGCATTTGAGTGTCTGCAAGGCCGAAGCCTGGAGTTTTTGTCTGTAAATGCCTGAAAGAGTAAATACAAACCGAAGTGGAAGTATGTATGTTGAAGAAGTCATTATCACGTCTGTGATTTTGAAGGTGTTTGTTTTCATTCTTTTAACAGTGAGATGGACCCTCATGTGAGGGACTGTGTGAGAAGTTACACGGAAGACTGGGCGATTGTGAACAGAAAGTGAGTTCCCCTGTGGGATTTGTCAATTTGATTGCATATTTAAATTTTTGCAGGATAGATAGCTGGTATGAGGAGGCTCACAAATTATTGTCCTGGCTACTGATTCCATGTGCCCTGGCTTTTTAGTTGTTCAGCTCAGCTGAACCGATGCTTTGTGTTTAGATGAAATGAGGCTTTGTGTTTTGAAAATTAGATCTCAGATGTCAAAACCCTGTGGGGCATTTTTGAAAATCTAGGCCGTTTTAGTCAGCAGTTGCTCTTTTAGAATGGTAGAGAAATTAGGGAATGCGAACAAGTAGAATTACTTTCAGCTTTTGTTTCTTTCTTTGTTCCATATCTTTTTAGCTCTTCTTAGAGAAAAATTGCATTAATTTTGTAACAAAGTAAGATTTATGTGCGGTCACAACCACCTAGTAGATAAGGTGCCCTCTGCAGCTTTCATTTGTTCCCAAAGAGACTTGGAGAAACTACGTAATTTAAACAAATAATTGTTAATATGTGAACTATCACAACATTTACCTAATGAGTTAACAGTTTAGAGAATGTGCATGCATTGATTAATTTATGCAAATTAGCAGGAAGGTTTCTGAGTAGCTTTCCTTGGAACATACACTCTCTCGGATGATTGAAAGTCTGATGACTTCAAGAGCTACTGTCAAGGAGTAAGTGATCCGTGTGATGTGCATCACCTACAAATGACTCGACTACAGCTACAGCTCTGCCCTTGTGGCAGTTGCTACAATTCACTGGTTTAATGTTGTCCTGAGAACCACTTCAGGGGATGCTGAAGATATGCTGTGCAGTGCTAAGATGACCTAATAAAAATGTGTTTTGTAATCTTATACCAAAAAAAAACAACCAACCCACCCAGAAAGAAACCCGGGAGAGAGAGATGCTTTATTAACTACCAGCCTTTGCGGGCAGAGTCTAGAATGCGCAACGTGGCTAGGGCAACATGGCCCACCCAGCCAGCACACCTCGTGGTTTCTCAGCGACTTTTTCTGGTATCTGGAATACCTGGCTGTGATTCCTGCACTGGGGACGTTTAGTTGGAGGCAGTAGAGCCTTCTGTCCTGTGCAGATCAGCTGCAGGTTGTGTTCTGTGTCAGGGAAGATATGAAGTTAAAGACATCAGAGTTGCCTGAGTGGGGTGAAGGTGTGCTGAGTGATTGTTGAACTACCGTAGAAGGTTGTCTAGCCCCTTCAGAGGATGAGAGGCACTTCCATAAATATCCATAGCCATTTTCAAAATGCTGATTTTCAAAACCCGCCTGGATGCAGTCCTGAGTAATGTGCTCTGGGCATTCCTACTTTAGCAGGGGAGTTGGACTAGATGATCTCTAGAGGTCCCTTCCAACTCTGAAAATTCTGTGATTCTGTGATTTTTACTTGGATAAAATCATGGCACTGGTCTGGGTAGAAACAGAAGGGATACTGCTGGAGCAGGGGAAGAACCCGAAAACCTGGCTGGGAAGGATTGAATTGTTTTTCAAGTAAGGATGCTAACAGGTTTCTCAATCCATCCTATTGGATGGTTACAAGTGCTTTGGCTAACTCTGGGGGCACAGAATCCAGCTCTTCTAGGTTTAGAAGAACATGACTTCTGATGCGCCATCCTTTTCTTTCCTCCACCCCGGGGGAAATGATGTTTACGTCAATCTCTGTCTACTGTTCTTTGTAGCCAAAATGTTTTTTAGGGGCAGGCAAGTCCATCTATTCAGTGATTCCTTTAATGGTATTGGAAAAGGTAAATAAGTTTTCTTCACTGGCCCGAAAAAAGCAATAGCGTATTCTTATTTCAACCTTACGACGTAATTTCTGTAAGCTAGAGTGATGGCAGTAATCGTCACAAGCACCTCTGACGTCAGGTCTGATTTAGAATGAATTTACACTTGTTCGTGGAGTTGTGATTGAAATGCTGACATCCAGGTGAGGATTATACAGATTGTATTGTTCAGCTCTCTGGAATTATAACCCAGCAAGGAAAATGCTTTCCTCATTTTCTCTTCGCTTTCATTATTCACTGCTAGCACGTCCATGGTTTTCACATGTCTGTGGTAACTTCAGTAACAGGGCAGGATAAGAACAATTAATTCTAGACGTGACCCCAGCACTACTATGGGAACTGACTTAGCGTATTGTAAGGAGACTGTGCCTCTGGCCGTATGTGTGTGTAAATATAGACATAGTGCCATTTGGTATCCAAAAATTTGTTAGTTAAAGAGATCTGATCTTGTCAGCAACAGTAGACAGACTGTTTACTAGCAAGCGCTCTTACACCCTGGAAAGCTCTGAAGGACCCAATTCTGCTTATAAAGATGCTGTAGGAAGATGCTCATTTTAGTTGAGGTTGAAAAGTCCTATGTTTTCCAGAGGTGGTCGGGACCTCTGTGTTTCATGCAGTCCTACCTGAAGTTGGTGTTTTGCTTTTAAAGGTATTAATACTGTCTGCTCCGAGTCAGTTCTTGCTCCAGCAGAGCCACTGGCCTTCCATCCCCATGTTCATGTCCTGTTTTAAGCTTGGCTTCACAATTGCATGTTTTATGATGACCTTAATTGGCCATTGATAATACTTCTTTTGACATCACCCAGGGTTGTTTTATAGTTGAACAGAGTCACATTGTAGTACTGGAATACTGGTTGATGGGTTATTACCAGGCTACAGTGGAGGATGACTGGAAATACTGTTTGCAGAGAGCAGTTTATGCTTTGAGAGGACCCACACTGATAATACCGGGTTTGTTCTGTAATTCTCCTTCTGGGTTTGGGGTCAAAAAGGATGCTAAGAATGCATTTGAAATACTTTGTTTTCAGATATCACAAGCTGGGAACTGGATTTAATCCTAACACCTTAGACAAACAGAAGGAAAGGCAAAAGGGGCTCCCCAAACAGATCTTTGAGTCTGACGAAGCTCCAGACGGCAACAGTTACCAGGATGAACAAGTAACGTACCTTTAAAACCTTGCTACATGAAACCTAATTTACAGTCACATTTTACAAGTGCAGTCCCTTTCCCATTATAAGTTGCTTTTAATTTGTTGAATCTCAGGATGACCTTAAACGACGTTCAATGTCGATTGACGATACTCCCCGGGGCAGCTGGGCATGCAGTATTTTTGATCTGAAGAACTCCCTTCCAGATGCCCTTCTCCCAAACCTGCTGGACCGAACCCCAAATGAAGAGATTGACCACCACAATGAAGATCAGAGGAAGTCCAGTAGGCATAAGGAGCTTTTTGCACTACATCCAGCACCAGATGAGGTATTTTTATAGACACGTGGGTGAGACTGAAAAATGAAGGATGTAGGGGACATAAAAATTGTGTCTGCCATGGATTCAAAGGAGTTAAGATCACCTGTGTCTAATATCCATGAGAACCTTGGCTATTTTGCGGGTCACATGTTTTTTAGCATATTCTCTTGCCATAGATACTACTTTCTGAAGATTGGTTTTCCTTAATGGTTATGCAATCCCCCATAATGTAGAAACATTAAAGGGATTTAATTTAGCATATTTATAGCTGCTGCTGGATACAACATACTGGTAAGCCTCGGATTAAATCGGTGCTAGTGTCTTAGAAGAAAAAAGTGATACGTATGTTTGGTTCATAATGGTATTAGTGGTTTGTACAAGTGTTGTGTCTCTAAATTGCTGTTCCTGTGACAAATTTCAGGAGGAGCCTATAGAACGACTTAGTGTCCCTGAAGTACCCAAAGAACACTTTGGCCAAAGACTCCTGGTGAAGTGTTTGTCCCTTAAGTAAGTATTACTCCAACAGGCAGTTGCATTACAGAAATTCAGAATTTAAATCTGTTGTTGTGTCCACGTCTGTCTGGAATAGCTCTGCCGCCTTGTTTATTACCCTTGAAGGGATGTGACATTGTTTGGTTGGTCATAGGCTTAAAAGTTAGTTCTATAAAGGATAAGTTACGCAGTACTGTGCATCAGACAGTTTTATCTTCAAGACTTTCTTTAGTGGTGTGATACAGAAAGTGTTCACCTTCCTTGGCCTTTCTCTGTGTTGCTTTTCAGCCAGTCTGTAGCTATACCTGTTCCATGTTACTAGCACGCATGCTTCGCTGCGCTCGTTCAGGGCTCCGAAGTTGGCCAGTCATCGGTGCTCAGCTCTGTAACGAGGATGTTTAAGTGGACCACAAAAAGGATTAAAAATGCTTAAGCCTTAAAACATGAGGCAACCAAAGATCTGCCAAAGTTTAGGCTCAACAACCTTGAGTGTGTCCCTTTAAGACTGAAGACTTTATATACTTAGCAAGCATTAACTGGAGGAATAGAAACCTGTTAAACAAGTTTAATGAAGTGGAGCTCCTGAATATAGGGTTACCTGCAGCTGGTTCATTGCCTATAACTCTTCTCTAATAACACAAGGTAAAATTTTACTGTTATTCCCTTGGAGAAATAAAGTACAAAACTGATTTTCCACACTGCTGTATTCATCTTCTGTGTCCTCAGTTAGGTCAACCCTTCTTATTAGAGAGCTCCGGTTAGACTACATTGCGGCTCATAACTGAGATATATGTGTGGGACATATCTCCTGCTCGTAGGGTACTCCAGGACCTAATATAGCCATAGAGATGAACTGATTTTGCAGCCTTTTATGAACTGGAACAACATAATATGCAGTAGCAGTGGAGCTTCCTCTCCAAAGGATGGTCTCTTTAGCATAAATAAGTTAGATGCTGGAAATTAATGATTTCTGCTATTAAAGCATCTCTTGCTGACTGTAAATTTATAGCAAATCTGCCCAAGTACATGCTTGTTTGTGTACCAAAGTAATCTCTGAAACTGTACTTGACAGTTGTGATAGCGAGCATCCAAGATCACGCTATCTTAGCGGCACAAAAAGACGTATGTAGTCTCTTCCCCAGGGAGAAGGCTCAGATGACCTAAGCGGGGTCATTTTCAGGTTAATCTCACCTTTGTTGCAACACTAGAGAAAATACCTGTTCGATGATGCAGTCCTGTATGTTCTTCTTCTCCCTATTGGCAGGAAGAGTTCCAGGCTGAAAAGCTGAGAGGTCTGTGTGAGGACGGGGTGCCTGGGGGTGTCCCACTGTGGATTGGGCAGTAATTTCATGGGGAGGCTGCGCAGACAGGAGAATGACATTTCAGCCCCTGCTCACTTTGGTGTAGGGACAGGTTTTGAACGTTTCTAAATTTCTTTAACTTCCCAGGTGATTTAACAATAAGTTTAGCTCTATTTGGTAAGTTAGTGTTTTTGTTGGAAGTGTTTCGGTTAGCATAAATGCTTGATAACAGTTACTCTGAAAGACTGACACCTTTCTGAGAGAGTTTTTGAGATACTGGTATTTTTTGACAAAAGTTAGGCATTGAAAATTGCCAAAATAGCTGTCCCTGACTCTCCAGAGGAAGGAGCTTTCTGGTCAGTAATGCTGAGAGGAGCAGTTGGCCATTTAGCCCTATCAACAGGTCAGCATAGTAAATTAGCACATAGGACAGCTTCTCAAGCTAATCGGGGGAGCTAAGTGGTCCAGCTATCCCAACTAATAATTCCTCTCCCTTTAAGAAAGCTATTAGGTTGCTTTGCTCAGCTTTCAAATGAAACTTGAAGAGGATAAAAACATTTGTAGAGGTACGCTTTATGTCCTGTGACCCTAATCCCAACCCTTCTGTTGGGTCAATGAGTTGAAATGGCTTTTAGAAAGTCCAGGGAGCACCAACACGCGTCTTGGTGGAAGCGAGCAGAGCCGATGCAGAGGAAGCAGGACAGGAGAGGAGCTGGGGGGAAATTGGGGAGCAAG